TTTGTGACTTCTGGTGGTGTGGGAAAAGGAAAGAAAGTGGCCATAATTATTTGTAATCAAGGGGAGTGCATTGTCATTTCAGGATTTGAAATTCTCCTTTGGGTTGAAGAGGATAATAGCAAAGTCTCTTTGGTCATCTATTTCAGTGCCATCAGCACAGAGCTGTTAGTATTGTTGGGCATCTTTATGGAGACTGGGCCACAGCCTGGTGTCATAGAGATCCTGCCAAACATCCCATTTCTTACCTAACACTTTTTGCGATGAGCACACCATTAATGTAATGACTTGAGTATCCAAATGAGCAGAGCGTGACCATAGGGATGGCACTTTTCCTTCAATTTGACCATGAAAAGGTTTCCTTTTGCCACATAAAGAAGACAAAACTTGCAGCTGAGAAACAGAGTTGCCGGTGGGTCCTGTGTGCCCAAACAGGGATTTTCAACTCAATATATTTGTGCAGGCATCTTAAAGTGTCTGTGTTGAATATGAGATTCCAAATGTTTGTTTCCTTACCTGAGGGACACCTGGTTGACTTCCTTGCTTTCCTTCCACTTACCACTGTTTTCTAGAAGAGGACAAGAAGGTTAATGAGTTTTATTTTATGGCAGCTATGCTTAATTGACCAAGAAACACTGCTGTGATGCCTTTCACATAATAATCCTTGGAAATACTAGTGTTAGTATAGCAAAGTACATCTTCCAAAAAGCCTGGCAAGCTGGTGTGAATCCACAGGGAAAGAAACATCCTTTGCTGACGTAGTTCCCACTAACTAGGACAATCAATGAAATCAAATGCCAATGCAAGATCTGCTGAATGTTGGAAAAGCTGTGGCTGCATCGGGGTTTGGGTTTTTGGTTGGTAAAGGAAAGGCATCTCTGGGTCTCTGCCAGGGCAGAAACTGCCACTGCAGAGTGAAGCTTAAACAATGGGCTCAGGAGAGCAGTTACAGATGAGAAAGAAGCAAGTGGAGCCTCCTGTTTCCTTTTTCTGCAGGCTCAATTCCTGATAGCCAGAGGAGGGATACCGAAGCTGCGGCAGCCCAACCGATTCTCGCCTTGCCTGTGTGACTTCCTGAGCTGCTGCCTGCAGACAGATGTGATGTGGCGCTGGTCTGCCAAGGAACTCCTGAAGGTAAAATGCAAAGGGGCTGCAGGTGAAACAGGGTGTGAGGGATGGGCTCCTCCTCCACGGAAGTCCAAGGCATCAGATGAGCCCCCTTCCTCCTCACCTCCACTCTTGGTGCTCTTCAAATGAAAACAGTGAGGAATCCTCGGCTGAGCTGGGCTGGCAGGGCCCTGTAAAGGTCATCTGGTGCAAGTGTCCTGCAATGAGCAGGGACATCTGTAAAGAGATTTTAAAGAGATTGCTCAGTGCCCTGTTCCACCTGACCTGGAATGGTTCCAGGGATGGGACACCTAAAAGCTCTTGGGACAACCTGGGCCAGTGTTGCACCATGCTCCAAATAAACATGTTCTTCCTTAGACCTACTCTGAATTGATCCCCATTTTTTTAAAAAACATTCACCCACATGCTATTGTAACTGGCCCTGTTAAAAACAGTGTCCCCCACTTTCTTCAAAGGCACTCTGAAGTTTTGCAAAGTGGCAATAAGTGGCTCCCTGGGGCCTATTGTTCACAAGACAGAATAACTCCACCTCTCTCCACATTTCCTGAGAGGACAGGTGATCTGTTTTCTGACTGTTTTTGTTGCCCTGTTTTGTAATTTGGTGGTGTGCTCCTTTTTATCTAAAGAATTGTAGTAGAGAAATACAGGGTACAGAGACATGCAAAGGTGGTGCAGGAACCCAAGGAAGCCAGGCCTGGCTGAGTGGTCAGAGATTTGGCTGTGGGCAGGAGGGGCTGTGGGGGGCTCACTGTGAGCCTCTGAGGGGCCCTGGTTTGTGCCCCCGTTTTTTGGGGTTTTTTCCCTGTGGACAGCATCCATTTCTAACATCGGCCAAACCAGCATCCACCCTGGCAGCACTCATCAACTTCGCAAAGAAGAAGAAGGAGAAGGAGATAAGAATGTAATGATCAAGATGTTATCTCGATAACCAACTTAGAGCAGGATTGTAGAGTAGGACTCTAGAGCAGGATTGTTAAGTAGTTTTGTAGTATAGGTTTATAGAGTAGGACTGTTATTAAATAAAGTTTCTGCAACATCAACTCAGTTGCAAGATTCTCCTCCATCTGACCCCTTCAGAAAACTCAACCTTTCCTTCTGAATTGCCAGTTGTTTTTAATTGCTGCTAAGACACAATTATGGCTTCTTTTGTATGGTTTGTGAGTGGGGAAGGCTTTTCTTCATTCATCCTCTCCAGACCACACTGCCTTTGGAATATGACCCACTGGCTGGTTTTTGCCCAGCTGTATTTCTAGTGGAGGCAGAAAAGTCAATGGCGTTTGCAGGCAAAACCAAAGGAGGAGTGGGGCAGCAAAGACATCCTGGTGGATTCAGGCCTTCAGTTGTGACTCAAGAACATTTGTGTTCCTGCCACTTGATCTGTATTCCCAAGTGCAATCTCTTTGGCAGAAAGAGAGCCTTGTTCAAGTGAGAAAGCAGAAGGATCAGAGAGGGGGCTCTGAAAGGACAGATGCCTGGCAGAGCCCGGAGCAGCCTGAGCCTGGGCAGAGGCAGGCTGGAAGGAGGCCCTTGGAGCTGCAGGAGGCAGCAGCCGGGCCCTGGGTGCCTCTTGCTGGCAGCGGGCGAATCCTCCGCTCTCAGAGCCCAGGTGGCAGCTGGCTGCTCCCGAGGGGAAGCGTAGCCGTGCTGGGCACAGCCCAGACTGGAGGCATTGGCCGTCTGGAGTCTGCCCAGGAGCAGAGAAAGGCCAGGGGCAGCCGAGGGCTGGTGGCCTGGCTGAGGATTCCTACTCTTGTGCCGGCTGCCCTGTGACTCCTGGCAAAGGGCAGCAGTGTGTGCAGCACTCTGGGCAGCGGCGCAGGGAGCCGGGCTGCTGGGCAGGCTGGAGCACAGGGCAGCGTCCTTCAGGCACGGCGCTTCTGCCAGGGCAACCCAGGCCAGCCTGAGGCACTGACAGCTTGGCAGCTCACATCTGCAGGAGCCAGAGCCTCCCACAGCTCTGCCAGGAAGTGCCTGCAGGCCTAGAGTTCTGCCCTGAGCCACAGCAAAGGTGTGAAATGCAGAGTGTTCTGCAGAAATATCCATGGCCACCAGGCCAGCCTGCTTTGTGCTCTCTGGAGCCCAGCAAGTGCTGTGCAATGCAGCTCTGAGTGCTGGGAGAGAGAGAACTGGGGGTGTGCCTGAGAGTTGTGCATAAGTAGTGAATTGATTTGAAAGAGAGGAGAATAATTTCAGCAGGCAATTTGTGTTTTCTTTCTTCCTTTCTGAAAGACAGATAGAACGTAGCTTCATTCAGCCAAGCCCTTCAAAACAGCAACTGAAGCAATTCCCACCCAGTGAGGAAAAAAACTCCAAACCCCCCACATCTTTCTACTGTAAATCTTGACATTTTGGGCTGGTCCTGCAAAGGGCTATGTGGCCTTTAAGGTCCGAAGCACCTTCCTGTCTTGCCAGCAGGGACAAAGGATGCTTGGGTGGTTCTGGAATCAGGTTATGAGCTTGTTTCTTTTGGCTTCTCATTTTGTTGCAGCCCCTCTGCGCAAATAACCCTGTGAGCCTTGCTCACTCTGTCCATCCCAGTGTCTCTGGCACAGGCAGCAGATGAAAGCCTCGTCTGCTGAAAAGGAACCTATTTGGAATGGTGTAGAGATCCAAAAGTCCATACAGTACTGCACCAAAGGATTACACTCTTCTCTCTTCAAAAGCTTGTGACTGATCCTGCCTAAGGTGGTTCTACTGAGTATCAGCCAGTGCAGGCGGTGGCTGGCCTCAAAGGACATCCCAGCTAGCTGCGGCCAGCACCGCCAGCAGCACGGGGGCACTCTCCCAATCCTGGGCTCGGTCAGGAGAGTGCCTAAGGCTTTCGCCTTGAGGGACGAGGATCTGCAGGAAAAGGGGCTGCTACCCAACAGGAGACAAAGAGACGGACTCCAGCTGTGGTTAAGTCCAGGTTCAATAACTCCAGGGGTTCCACAGCTGAAGACCCCGAACTGGGGTCCGACAGGCGCTTATAAGGAGGGGAGGGTACAGACAAGTGATATGGTCTTTAACCAATGAGGACTAAGGGGGGCGTGGTGGGAGGATAACAGACATAACGGGTGAACCAATACGGGAAAGCCTGGGGAGGTGCCCTGGCCCCTGAGCCAATCACTTGATGCCCTAGCTGGAAGGTTCTAGATGGAAAGGTTGGGCCACCGAGTGACGGACAGGGCACCAGGGAGGGATTAAGGAATGGATACATTTGTTGTCATGGGTAACGGGGAGGAGAAAGACTAAACTGATGGGGCAACCAAGGAGAGGGAGAACCAGGGCAGAACCATTACAACAAAAGGGGTAAATGGAATGAACCAATTCACAACTCAACAAGAAACACACCACAACATCTCCCCCTTTTTTGTTTAAAAAAAATATGGAAAACTCAAAGACTGGTGTCATTGTCCAAATTAAAATTTCCAGTCCAGGGGTGGCCAGAAGGGACGGGAGTCCATCGATCTTCTTCGCTTTGCTCTTCTCCTTCCAACTGATCTTCTTCTTCTGCCGGATCGTACTTTTCCTCTTCAGCCACCACCTGGTTTATGTCAAAAGGGGAGACTAACTTGTGGATTAATTTTTGTACTAACTTCCAAATAATAGAAGAGGCAATTAAAATTACTAACAAAATAAAGAGTATTAAAAGCACTGTCTTTAAGATTGAGCTGGCCCAACCGGATAACCCCCATCCCGAGAAGACGTCCCCCAGCCAGTCTGATGTTCCCCTTTTAATGTCATGAATCATGTCCCGCATCTTCTTGATGGAATCTCTGGCATCCTCGGCCTTGGACGATAAGTTCAAACAGCAGAGCCCTTCAAACTCCTCGCACTGGTGGTCATGCAGCGACAGCAAAAAGTCAATCGCTGCTCTGTTTTGGAGAGTCGCCCGCCTTGTTACTTCCTTGTCTGATAGGAGGTCACTGAGAACCGCTGATGTTAAATTGGCTTGTTTAGCAGCCCAACACTCTAGGTGGGCCAATTCACCTAGAGATTTCGCTATGGACACCCAGGGTAAAAACACTGTCCAAGCGACACCTTCTGGGATAGACCAATGTGTAATTTCGGAGTCACACTGTGAGTCTAGTTCTTTTAGATCTCTTTTTGAGCGGGCCAAATCGCGTGTGACTATCTTGGATTTCCAATTTTCAATTTGCATGTCGTTGGGAGTAAACAACGTCAGCTTTCCGAAAGAACACGGGCCTCCTATTAGACGGGAGGGGATGCCTGCCCATGCTCGGTCTCTGCAAATAAAAAAGATGCCACGAGGAAGGGATCAGGGTTTATCATCATAAGTGATTGTTGTGGTGATTTGGGCAACCGTATCACACCAATTCCCAACCACGTAATCTTGATTATTCTGAATCACAGTAAGGTAGGGTTTTTCTACAGGGTCAGGAGCTAACATAAACTGTATACACATAGGAGCTAGAGCGGAGCCGAACAACTTAAATTCAACAGGGTCAGATTCTGCAATGTTTAAGTTAGAAATAAAGCGTCTCCATACCAAGTTAGGATTGATTCCGGGGGAATGGATAATTTTCTGACGGGACAAGAGTTTTACGGAGGAACCGAGAGGGGGAGCGAACTCATCTGGGTTTGAAGGGATCCCCACAAGGCAGGTCGACAGAGGGTCTGCTGCTGAAGTGGTGGTTAGACACAGTTGGTCCTGGCCGAGGGCCTTGGCGAGCATCTTCCAAACATTATTCTTTGGCTGGGGGATGATCCACGGGTCTGTTTGTGGGAGTGTGGACCATAAGATGACGGCAGAGATGATGACAGTGACCGGGATGGGAGCCATTGGGCGCAAGTCTCTACAAAGAAAATAAAGGAAAGATGTAAGGGTAAATTAAAAACTTTGGTTCTGCCCCGGGAGGAGATCCAAATCACCAGAAAAGGGTTTGCGTTTCCTTCTCCAACAGGCCTTCTCTACCTGTGTCACAATCCCAACTGCCATGGTCTTTTTTGGCAGGAACGGCTTGACCCATTTGGAGGGAACCCACTTCAGGCCTGAAGGAGTGGATACGCAAGCGTATCCCCTCCCTCAGGTGACCAGATTGAAGGGTCCCTCTGTCTTCCAGGTCTCCGGGTTCTTTATCAGGACCGGGGGCCTGCCCCTAAGGTGCAGCTTGTCGTTGTGCCCGAAATGTCTGACAATCGGTGGATTTAAATTGTCGTAAGAACAGTTTAGGAAGTTAATAGTATAAAGTGCTTTGGCAAGTCGGATTTGGGGGGACTCCACCTTCATCGCTGAATGTTGTTGTTGTAAAACTCTTTTCAGGCTCTGGTGGGTCCTCTCCACCACGGCTTGGCCTGTTGCAGGAATAGGGGATGCCAGTCTTATGCTCTATTCCCCATTGCTGCAGGAAGCTCTTGAGTTCCCTGGATTTATACACCGGGCCGTTATCTGTTTTGATGATTTTGGGAATGCCCAACACGGAGAAAGCTTGAATGAGATGTTTTTTCGTGTCGGTTGCTTTCTCCCCTGCATGGGCAGAAGCATAAACTGCACCGGAAAAAGTGTCAACAGACACATGGATATAATTGAGTCTACCAAATGCCGGATAATGTGTAACGTCCATCTGCCACACCTCACAGCTATTGAGGCCTCGGGGGTGTGTGCCCAAATTTAACGATGGAAGTTGGTGTGATTGGCACTGGGGACATGTGGCCACGATCGCTCTGGCCTGTTCACGGCTGAGTTTGAATTGGCGAACCAGACCAGGCGCATTTTGGTGGAAGAGCTGGTGGCTGATCTTAGCCTGCTGGAACACTTCCGGGAGCGGGGCCATCTGGACGGGGGCAGCGAGAGCATCAGCTCTTCAGTTCCCCTCCGCGATGAACCCCGGCAGGTCAGTGTGAGATCTGACATGCATCACATAGAACGGTTGCTCTGGGTGGGAGACTAAGTTAACGAGTTTTGAAAGCAAGTTAAACAGTGACATGTTGGACACCTCTTGCAGAATTGCATTTTCTGCTCTGGACACTACACCGGCAACATATGAAGAATCTGTGACCAAATTGAAAGGTCCAGGGAACTTCTCAAAAGCCATTACAACTGCATCTAACTCAGCTACCTGAGGCGATCCTTCGACCTCAGTAACGTCAGCCTCCCACCGCTGAGTGTCAGGATCCCTCCAAGTCATCACTGACTTGTAGGATGCTCCAGGTGCGTCTGTAAACACAGTAAGAGTTTCTAGAGGAGTTCTACTCTGGACGCTTTTTAAAGATAGAGAAAATTGCACATCCTGATTGAAAATTTTGTGGGCCTGTCTATGGATTGAAATTTGGCCAGTGTAGCTATCCAATGCAAACTGCAAGGCCTCGTTTTCTTGGAGCAGGTGTTCCAACATTGCCTTAGAAATTTGGCCCGAGTTCAATTGGAGAGGAATATGGATGCAATCAAAATCTTGACCTGCCAGCTCCCTGATCCGCAGCCTGGAATTGCGGATCAGTTCCGCCACCAGCTCCTGTGGCCGTGTCATTCTTTTGAACCTGTGGTGACTAAGGAACACCCACTCTATGATCAAGAAGGGGTCCTTAGACCCTTGGTCCCTTTCTTTGGATGAAGTGTCCCATTGAAAAATCACCCCATGGAGGTACGGCAGTTTTCCTAGAATGATGAACTTGAATGGCAAACCCGGTTGGTATCAATGGGCCTGCCTGGCAGAGATAGACCTTTGAATCTTTTCCAGTGCAGCTCGTGCCTCTTGGGTGAGGAACCTAGGAAAACTGAGCTCCTCTCCCCCTTTCAATAAATTGAAAAGGGGGGCTAGGTCGTCGGTGGGAATGCCTAGCCAAGGTCTCACCCAATTTAAGGACCCACACAGTTGTTGGACATCTGCTAAAGTCCGAATGTTGTCCCTAATTACCAGTTTTTGGGGCACAATGGTGCGTTTGCCAATTTCAAGGCACATGTATTTCCAGGGTGGCATCCTTTGAATCTTGTCCTCTTGCAGCTCGAACCCTGCAGCAATCAATGAATTGATTGTCAGGTCAAGTGCGTGTGTAAGCACATCATCGGTCGGAGCACAAACTAGGATGTCATCCATGTAATGATATATGATGGATTCCCCCGCACTTGCACGTACTGGGGACAGCAAGGATGAGACATACCATTGGCAGATAACTGAACTATTTTTCATCCCTTATGGGAGAACACGCCAATGGTACCTCTTCCTTGGGGCTTCTCGGTTGATGGTAGGAACAGAGAAGGCAAAACGTGGGGCGTCATCAGGGTGAAGAGGAATTTGAAAGAAACAATCTTTTATGTCTATTACCGCCAATTGCCAATTTTGCGGAAGCATCGCTGGGGACGGCATCCCCGATTGGAGAGGACCCATGTCTTCTATGACGTTGTTGATTTGTCGGAAGTCGTGGAGGAGCCGCCACTTATCTTTGTTGGGCTTTTTGATGACAAACACTGGGGAGTTCCATGGAGATGTGGTCTCCACCAGGTTGCCCTTAAGTAACTGCTCATCCACGAGCTCTTGGAGCACCTTCAATTTTTGTTTTGAAAGCGGCCACTGCTCTACCCACACTGGTGAATCAGTTTTCCAATTTAGTTTTTGGGTAGGGCACTCTTCAGTGACCGCTGCCCGAAAAATCTGTGGAGCCGTTGGAAGGTCAATTCTGGCTCCCCACTGGGCAAGAAGGTCTCTCCCCCACAGGGGTTCCGTGTAGTCTAAAATGAACGGGCACACTGAGGCTAATTGCCCGTCCGACCCCTTAATTTGCACGATGTTCCTTGATTGTTTAGCCAATTGGATGCCTCCAACACCCTGGACACGTCCAGCCACATCTTGCAATTCCCAATGTGACGGCCACTCCCTAGAGGGAATGATCATCACATCTGCCCCCGTATCCAAAAGACCTTGTAAAAGCTTCTGGTCCCCACCTTTTTGCAAACTACAAGTTATACAAGGCTTTTCTTTGCCAAGGACCTGCGCCCAGGCTACCGTGTGTAAGTCTGTTTGTTGCCGAGGATGTGGAAGCTCTGGATCCCATGTAAACTCAGGGACTGGAATGGCTTGGGCGATGATTTGTCCCTGAAGCAAAAAGGTGGGAGGGCGGATACAGTACAGCGCAAGTGAAAACTGTCCCGGGTCTGATGTTAAGAGACCTGGAACAATGTTGATGTCAAGGGGTGTATATTTTGTGTCTCCGACGACAATGTACTTACACTTAATCCGACACCAAGTACCTCTCTATTCCGGGCACACAGAGACCAGATGGAAACTTGAGTCCTTGAGGTGTAACGACTCCATGAGCTGCAACCTGTAGGGCGTAAGTTTGGAAAAGGTTGTTAGAATAGGTCTGGGTCGAGTGTGTCTAAGATATGGTGAAGAAAAATGGGTCAAGTCCAGTTGGGTTGTGAGCACAGGCAGGCTCTGTGGATGTTTCTCCTCCTTCTCCCTCCCTCCGCAAGATGTAACGGTGCCTGCCCTATTTCTGTCATGGCACGGGGAGAAGTCGTGCTGATTGTCTAGTTTTTTGGCTGGGTGTTCCCTTGAGGCCGTTGTTTTCACTTGAAGTCCATAAACTCCTGCCTCAGGGGACACTACGGCATCCAATGTCCCGTCCTCCCTCAGAGATGGCATGGTGCGGAGGTTCTCTGCGGCACCCTCGGGGTAAGAGGTGGATGGCTAGGTACTGGGGTGGTAGATGCGGCTGCTATGACTTCAGTATCAGCGATCGTGACCCTCTGTGCTGGCGGTTGATGTTTGGGGTCGATCTCTTCCGCCAGGATGGAAACCTTCTTCGCGCACACCTCGAGCATCTGATGCAGAGTAGGAGGAGGGTCCAGAGGCAAACTGAGAATGGCGGCTTTGCAAGCAGGATTGGCGTTGGCTGCCGCCATCTCAGTTAGGACTTCTAATCAAGTTGCCTCACTCTGCACCTGCAAATCGATTGCCTTGCGGAGGCTCTCAACAAAAACAACAAACGGTTCATTATTGGATTGTAAAATTTTCGAATAAGTTGTTAGGGGAGTCAAAGGGGATCGCAGACTAAAGAAAGCCTTTTCGGCCACCCTAGCACTTTCCCTCAACACCTCAGAGGGGATGTACCACGCCTGCATCTGCCCATCCACCCAACTCCCAATCCCACATAGATGGTCGTTGGATATCATTTCCCCATGCAGATCTACGGCAGTGTGTGAGTTTCCCCACAGTGTGGGTAAAAGATTTACCACTTCCTTTTTCCAAGCTGCCTCCCACATGATAAATTCTGTGGGGTTGAGGAGGCAGGAGAAAAGACGCCACAGGTCTGCAGGGGTGACCTCCAATTCGGAGAGTGTGGCCCTCAGGATCCCCCGGAAGTATTCACTCCCCGGGAGTAGTCCTTTTGGGCCTTACATAACTCCTTGATGACATGGTGTGGGAATGGGGTCCATTGGATTTGGGGCCCTCTCCGGATGGTTAGTGACCGGAGCCGCCGATAGGATGGGAAGCGGCTCTGGGCCCCGGCTCCCACTCCCCCCCCCCGCCACCCGCCTGAGCGTGGGAACCGGAAGAGGGACCGTGGGAACCGGAGCCAGGAGAGGAAGAGGAGTGGCCTGGGATGGGGGCGGGGACAGATGTTGTTTTTGTCCCCGCCTCCAGGGCATGGTACGAGGGTGGGACTGGTGGTAGAGGAGGAGTCAGCGGAGGAGGAGACATGGGAGGAGCAGTGGGAGAGGAAGGGGTGGAGAGAGAGGAGGGGTAAAGGGAGGAGTCTGGGAGGGTAAAGGGGTTGTTCAGGGAACGAAAAGGATTGTGGGAAGAAGAAGGGGTTTCGGCGGGAAACGCCATGCGGTCCCCGCCATTTTCAGCTTCATGGAAGCCATTTTGTGATGGATCGGGAAACAGGAGGTTAAACTTAACAGAAGGTTTACGAACTAGGGATTTATGAACTGGGGAAGCAAGGGAACGGGAAAAGCCCTGGGGGGTTTGGCCAGAACCCCTCAGGCGGGGGTTTGGGATTTTTGAGGAGAGCCAGGGAGATGATAAGGACCCTGCGCAGTGCTGTTGCGAGCTGCTCCCCTCAAAATCCCAGGTTTTAGGCAAGCGGGAGAGGGAGAAGGGCTAGGATGGGGAGAACAGGGCAAACTGGGGTTCAAACTGGTGGAGGATGACTGCCTTCTCAGTCCTGAACGGGATCTTAAAATCTTCTGTACTTGTGAACTCCAAAAGGAGATTTTTGAAAGTGATGAGTCCCCTGACCAGCCTAATTCCTCTAATTTAGCACAAACTTGGTTCCAAAACTGTAAATTTTCAATTTGGTCAGGGGATATTTCAGGGAACTGAGAAAGCAGCCATGATGTCAACCTTTTAACTTCCCTTTTTTTAACTTTTTCCACCCCCCCACTAACAAGGATTCCCGCAACTTGGATAGTGAGTCTCTTTTGAGCTGCAGAAAGTTGTGCACCCATGATTAAGATTTTAAAGAGTGCAGCTCAATCTGCCCACCGCCCTGGAGAAACGCGAAAGAAAAAGTAAAAAGGGAGCACCCCACCAAGCCTTGCCGCTGGACTATGCCAGCAAGGGTCTGCGCAGAAAAGAGAGCTGTGCACAGAGGCACAGAGAAAAAGACCGAACAAAGTGGTCGGGAATTAAAAAGGCAAGGCAAAGAAAGAAGGAAACGGGAAAAAGGACTTACGTTTCGGCGGAGGTCCAACTAAAATCTGGGACAATGGCTCCTGCTGGGGGAACGACTCCGTAGGTGCTCGGAGCTGCCGTTCCCGGTCCCCTGGGAGCGCCACCCACCAAAAAGGGGTCTGCTCGACCAGGGGTAGGTTGATGGCCAATGAGGATTATTCCGAAGTCCAGTGGGTAGAGCCCAAAGGGTCTGGAATCCTCGTCCGTGGGGTCCGGTGATGTTCTTGGCCTGCCGCACATTGGGTGCCAAACTGCAGCGGTGGCTGGCCTCAAAGGACGTCCCAGCTAGCATCGGCCAGCACTGCCAGCAGCACGGGGGCACTCTCCCAATCCTGGGCTCGGTCAGGAGAGCGCCTAAGGCTTTCGCCTTGAGGGACGAGGATCTGCAGGAAAAGGGGCTGCTACCCAACAGGAGACAAAGAGACAGACTCCAGGTATGGTTAAGTCCAGGTTTAATAACTCCAGTGGTTCCACAGCTGAAGACCCCGAACTGGGGTCCGACAGGCGCTTATAAGGAGGGGAGGGTACAGACAAGTGATATGGTCTTTAACCAATGAGGATTAAAGGGGGGTGGTGGGAGGATAACAGACATAACGGGTGAACCAATACGGGAAAGCCTGGGGAGGTGCCCTGGCCCCTGAGCCAATCACTTGATGCCCTAGCTGGAAGGTTCTAGATGGAAAGGTTGGGCCATCGAGTGACGGACAGGGCACCAGGGAGGGATTAAGGAATGGATACATTTGTTGTCATGGGTAACGGGGAGGAGAAAGACTAAACTGATGGGGCAACCAAGGAGAGGGAGAACCAGGGCAGAACCATTACAACAAAAGGGGTAAATGGAATGAACCAATTCACAACTCAACAAGAAACACACCACAACAAGCCAGGCTCACACCTCTATTGCAGGGCTGTTCTTCTTCTCCTCAGTAACCATGGTTCAGCTGTCTCTCGCTGACATATTGCTGATTGAAGACCTGTCTCTTCTACATCCCTTATAAAAAGACCTTACCTTAGATTCTCAAATTTTGCATGCATGCATGAAATAAACAACACAAACCTCTAGGAAAATCAAGACATTCGAGCAGATTTCATTTATCGAACCCTCACCGACTGCATTAAAAGTAGGTCTGTAAACCTTTCTTCAGAATTTTCTTAATCGTGGCTCCTGAGTTATTTTTGGGAGATAACTATGCTGCCCTTAACAACTCCAGATTACTTGGCAAGCAGCAATTAGTCGTCCATTAAGCATTCCAGCCATTCTGTAGCATTTCATTCAAATAACTGATCCCTGGATATTGCAACCAGCTAATTTCTGTGTGCCCACTTCTTTTCCATGTTCTGAGCCAAGTGCAATAGTATCCTTGTGAATGCATCCTAACACACTTCACGATGACACCTCACTTTTATTCCCTAGATTCTCCCATGGAAGATTCCTTGCTCTTTTTTCTCTGCCACCAATGAGCATCTGCAGTCCCTGCCAGGCACTGCTCCTTGGGGGTTCTCAAGGCAGAGGCAATGCTCTGGTGCACCTGGCGCAGGTGACCCTTGGGCCCGGGGAGGGACCGATGCTCCGAGCTCCTGCGGATCCGGCAGCGAACCCGGGTGGTGCCGTCACCTCGCTGGGAAGCCGAGCGGCCGACGGTGCTGCCGCCCCGGGCAGGGCTGTGCTCTGAGCGCCGCCGGGGCTGCCGAGCAGCGCTTTCCACCTGCCCCCGGCTCCAGACCCAGCCCCGCAGCTGCGCTCTCCTGAAACGCCCTGACCCGCGCCCAGTCCTGGCCCGGCTGCAGGACTCCCTAAGCCCTGGCTCTCCTGCTTCCCAGTCCGCCTGCAGGAGCCGCCGTTCCGGGGCTCCCGCTGCTGGGTCCTCCTCTCCCACGTCTTTCCCCCATTTCCCAGGCCCTCTCCACTCTACTCGGGATTTCCTCCCGTTGTCAGGATCTCCCCCGTCTCCTGGGCTCTCTCCCCTCTCTCAGCTTTTCCCTGGTACTGAGCTACCCCTTGTCCCAGGCTCCCCCCTTTCCCGGGCTGTATCCAGTGCTTTTATTCGTCTCCCTGGATCTCCCCTTCTCCTGATCACTTCTCCCTCTCCCATGTCTCTCTCTCCTCTCCCGGGATGTCCACCTGTCCCCGGACCGCCCCATGCGCCCGGCCCCTCGCCGCCCGTCCCTCGCCGCCTCGGGAGGAGCCGTGGCTGCGCCCAGGGCTGTGCCCGGGGCTGTGCCTGCGCAGGGGCTGCGCTGTGGGCGAGCTCGTCTGGCCTCGCTGTGGACAGTAAGAGCGCCGACCTGTGCTCGCTTCGCACCTTCAAGGTTGCCAGATGCCTTGCAGTGGAGCTGGAGTGCCCGGGGTATTCCGGTCGCTTCTTGTCCTTCAGCTCAGCAGGAAGATGGTTCCAAGTGCAGGTGCGAGGGACGTGTGTGCAGTTTGTGTCCTCCTATCCCCTGTCTGTTGGAGTTCAATATGTTCACTCTGGCAGTAAATTCTTGGGTATCATGATTATGAGCCTGGATTTACCCAGACTTTTAAGCAAAGAAAACTTGGAGACATTTTTCTGTGCAGTTCCTAGAAGACAGCTGTATTGTCCGTGGAGGTTCTGTCATATTTTGATTTGTCTTGGAGGGACTTGTGGGTTTCTTTGCTGCTGGAGTGTGGGAATCCATAAAATCAGAGAGTTTTGGAAAAGATGCAAAAGGCAGGCCTCAGAGACAGCAGAATTGTGATTAGAGCTAAGCAGTAGCCATAAGATAGGTCAGCAGAAAAATTATGTAAGAAGTGCAAAAGTACGGACAAATACAACAATGGTCTGTGTATTAACACTTGGCTAGAATGACTCCCTAAGCTGCAGAAAAGTACATCTAGTGAGATATTAGGAAGTTCCAAGCTTAATAATGGAGCTCTGTGCCTTGTGTTTTAAGTCTTTACAAGCAGGTATTGTATTCCAATAAGCCATCATTGCTTTAAGAAAAGGTACATGTGTTCCTAGTCATTGGATGTCAATATGCTTTTGCTTTGTGTGATTGGTCAAAAAACTGATAAAATAAGTTGCAACATTAAGTTCTTGGTCTGCTGTCTGGGATGTGAGCTGCTGGCATCTTCCCATTGTCATAACCATGGAACGAGACTGATGCTGGAAAATAAAACAGGTCAAGGCACGTTCCTAGCAGTCCTGCCCCATTCGTGATTTGTACACAGACCACCGGCGGGCGATATTTGGGTCCTTTTAATTTTTTTTTTCTTATGTATGTTCAGCTGTTTTAAGAAGTTACTCACAAGGTCTCTTGGGTAAGCCTTTTTATTAAATCAAGGAGGGGGATTTGTGGGTACCTGAACTCCAGCCAGAGAAAAGCCTGCTGCACTCCCCTGGCCGGCCAACCCCTGAGCCACTGACTTGTAGTCAGGGTGAGCAAATACCGCCCCCCAGAGATCTTTGCAACTTTGTGTTGATCCCCAATTACTCATTGGTCCTTCCTTTTGTGGACCGCCCTGAGCTCCACCCTTGAGCCCTTACCCCATTGGTTACCAGATTTGTCCCACCCCCTCACGTTTCCTATATAATCCCCCATTTTGCTGTGGTTCAGAGTTTCTGTGCCTGGCTCTGTTGGTTTGGAGAGTTTTTGTTCCTGGCTCTCTTGAAACAAGGCCCTGCTCTTAGGAAGGGCTGCTACTCTGTGGAACGCCATACAGAGCTCTTGGCTCTTTCTCCATGTTGCCCAGAAGAAGAAAGCCAAAGGCATACATTGCACGCTGGGCTGGGAGAAGG